TCCAGCTTGGCATCTGTATTATAAAACCGGACTACCTGGATGTGGGAGAGTAACTCACGGGCCCCTCTTTAGGTTACTCTTCCCCGCAGGCTCAGTCCATTATCTTTAATATTTATATTATTGGTGAATGATAATTTGAAGGCCTTCATCAGGCAGCTTCCGATTATCTTTTACCAAATTTTTCCAGCGTTAGTCCTGGCAATGGCAAAACTCAAAAAACACTTAAGGATAAAAAAGGGCAAATTTTCAGCCATTTTTCATAAAAAAGCCAATTTTTTTTTCATATTTTAGCTTTTTTCAGTTAGTTATTTTTTTTTTTTATTTGTTTTATATATATATATATATATATATATATATATATATATATATATATGTATTTTATTTATATATTACATATATATATATATATATATATATATATATATTTTTTTATTTATATATATATATTTTATTTATATATATATATATATATATATATATATATTTTATTTATATATATTTTTCATTTGTATATAATGAATTAAGATATTTTTCAAGTATTTCATTAAATTATTTTTTGCTTCCAAATCTGAAGCTGAACAGAAGTCAATTTCTGTAAAAGTTGAAAATATTGTAAATGCTAGAAAAGGTTAATAAAAGGCGTAATGACATTTAGACATTTATTACTTGAGGAAACTTAATGGCTCTATAAATTTGCAGGCCAGGGCAGCACACAGAAACAGAGCCGTCCAGGAGCAGTAGTCAGGGGGGAGCAGAGGCCGTCAGGGCGGCAACACACACAGAGTAGAGCTGTCCAGGGCAGCAGCCAGCAAGCACAGAACAGAGCCGTTCAGGGCAGCAAGCACAGAAACAGAACCCGTCCAGGGCAGCAAGCACAGAGCAGAGCCGTCCAGGGCAGCAAGCACAGAGCAGAGCCGTCCAGGGTAGCAGCCAGCAAGCAAGTACAGGGAAGTCCAAGGCAGTAGCCAGTAAGCACAGTCTAGGTCAGCACGGCACTCCAGTGTTCAGAACAACATTTCTGTACAAAATAAAATGTAAAATTAATATTCAAATTTTTTAACCATAAAAATGTTTTAAATATAGTAATGACAAAATGAACTGTAGTGTTTTAGACAAAATTCCTTAACACTTGACAGAACCAAATTTATAAACTCAATAGAAAAATAAGAATTTTTGTTAATTTGAATTTTTCACCAAATGAACCTTGAGAACAAGTGTCTAGGGAATATTATCAGTAACTGTACAGCAACTTAACCTAACTGTACAAGTTATGGTTCATATTAACTAAACTATAAAAACCAAAAACCTTTCATTACAAAACTTACCCACAAGTGAGTTTAGTTTAACCATAATAGTTATTGATGCTTAACTACAATATTTCCTGTATCTTTGGTTCATAGTTTTGTTAATATATTTTAAATGTTTTCTCAATGACTTTGACCCAGAAATTATTGATTTGTGATGAATATTTTTACTTTCCACTAACTTTACGTCAATGAATTCCTCGAGTGGGTCAGTCACAGGTCTGGTACAGTATTACAAGTGAATGTTGCTAAGTACTTTATTATTTACTAAACATACTCATCTTGTAGGTAACTTTAAGTACTTTACTGAATTAATTAAAGTCAAGCATAAACAGGACCAATAATTATTTCTGGTGTTATAAATTTGATGTATTAAACGATTGGTTGAGAAGTTATAAGTAGTTAAGGCCAGAGTCCAGTTATAGGGCTTTTAACTTCGGTCAATTATGATATTCCTGTCATCAATAAATGATCATAGGTATAGTCAGGATCAAAAGTGTTGAACACTTGGCAATATCTCATCTACTTGAGTTATATGATTGGGATATACTGTACTAATAACAACAGTACTATCATATGCCTGAACCACAAAATAGGATTAAACTTTACTTAATACCCAAGATCTTCAGGTACTTACATGCCAAATACTGTCAAGTGTTCAACACTTTTGACCCAGACTATACAGCAATTCTAGCCCCATAATCCCCTTTCAATATTCTCAACACTTTACACATTTTCTCACATAAATTTAAGTATAATTTCTTCATTACTTTCAATTTTGTCTTGAAATTTATAGCATTGAATACCCCAGAGCAATTTGTGTGTCTTTGGTTTTAAGGATAAACTGGAAGAGAAATTCCAATCTGAGTGTTGGAAAAGTTCATTTTGACAGACCAATAAAGTAAATTTTACTCCCCTGTAAGTGATCATTCCGAGGCTATTTTATAAGCAATATCTTGTTTTTTGTATATTTTTACATCAACTGAACTTTTTATATTCTTTACCTGAGGTAGAAAGGAGGGGTGGATGGCTGGGTCTGGGCTGTATCACCTGCTTGCTTGCTTGCTTGCTTGCTTCCTTCCTTCCTTCCTTCCTTTAGTTGTGTTGTGAATCACTTGCCATCCTGATATTGGAGGAGAGAAGCCTGGTACAGCAGTACAAGTGAGGGAAGATGTATGGTACAGCAGAGTGCACACCTCTCCTTGACAAGGTCCAGAACCTACTGGAAGTAAAATCACAAGTTATTACGTATAAAAGGTTTCAAGGAAAATATTTTCACAATACAGTACTAATGTATCCTAATACAGTAATGTATAACATGACCCTAAACTAAAGGTTTTATCCTCTTTGGAAGTACCACATTAATCCACTTAATCTAGTACAGTAATTGAAGAACAATGCATTAGTGATGCACCATTAATAACCACATTCAAAACTCTCCCAATAATCTGCCGCCAGAGTCAATGCTATAATTTGGGTCAACTTTATCATGCAGGTAAAACAGTTAAGTCACTGTATAGTATCACCACCAAAACCAGACTATAAACAAAGTATCGGCCAAATACAGTATTTAAATAAAACAATTTTCTCTGGTGGTACAGAAGCCGTCCACAATACATCAACTTTAGCAATAATCTTAAGGAATTTTTGAAGCTGCAATATTAAGAGCAGCTGGGTTTTAAATTATTATTGCAGCGTTTAAGTCTACCCGGCACAACACCCAGCAATTATTCACTAATCAAGTGGTCAACTATTTATAGGTAAACAATATCACGGCTGTTGGAAGCTGCAACCATCCAGGAAGAATACTGTATATATTAAATATATACTGTACAGTGTAAGTACAGACTAATGTTATAACTCAACATTATAATCTAACCAACACCTAAACTTGTTACAATAAACTTGCCATTAATCTGTTCATCAATGTTAAATAACCCGGCCCTCGTCTTGTGTTGGTAAACCAGCTAAGGTGCCCGGGAAAGTCATTACTATTGAAGTGAAAATGAAAGCAATAAGGGTCGGGTCAGAGTAGGGTCGAGACAACAGATAAACCAGAAAATATTAACTAGCTGTGTTACTAAATTTATATTAATTTATTATTGATGTTAAAGTCTCCTCGTGACAGGCATTTTTGTTGTATCATCCTCGAGTTTTCTTCAGCTTAATGTTTACTTGTACAGAGACGGTGGTGGAAAAGACGCGCATTTGTAAGCAACAGCGATTTTATTCTAATATTTAAGACTTATTTTGGAACATTTATTCATTATTTACTCATTCTTTAATAAAAGAGGATTTACTGTAAATCGTTTTATTTATCATTTCGACAACCTATGTCGTTCATTATAAGAGTTATGATAATACTGTAGCAGGTCGTTCTCAGTTCTAATTTGGGTAATATTGGTCAATAAAATATCTAATGTACTTTAACGATGCTACAGTATATAAAACAATCTTTCGAGTCAGTGACAGTCTTTACCAGATTATTTTTCTCTTCAGATAAAACAAAAGCTACTTTGTCTGGCCTGATAATATATCCATTACCTTACAATGAAGTGCTATAGACACTTCCACAGAGGACACTGCCATGTTATCCAATAAAACATTATGATCGGCGGCCAAGTGTGACCTTCCCATAACAAGTGAACAGACTACAGTACAGGTTGACAATCCCTTATCCAAAATACTTGGGGCCAAAGGCATTTCGGATTTCGGAATTTTTCAGTTTTCAGAATGGTTAGTTTTTTGTTTTTGGTTTTTCTTTATATATGTGTATTAACCCACCTAGGCACAAGTCACGGACCCACATTGGGGCCTGAGGGGCGAAAATATAATAATAATAATTCATAGGTCTAAGTCGTGTTTCTCACTTTTTTTATCTTTTTTCATTCTTGTATTTCTTTATTATTATTATTATTATTATTATTTTATTAATACAGTATTATTGTTATTATTATTATAAATTTTATTATTATATTTTATTATTATTGTTATTTTATTTTGGTCTTTTATAATTAAAATTTTTATTTACTATGAATAATTATAATTATTATTATTATAATTAGTATTACTATTACATTTTCGCCCCCCAGGCCCCGATGTGGGTCAGTGATCTATGCCTGGGTGGGCTAACCCCTGTATATAAAAAAAAAATGCTCTACAAAAAAAAAACTTTCGGTTTTCAGAGCTTTGCGGTTTTCGGAATTTCGGATAAAGGGTTGTCAACCTGTAACTGGTTTCCGTAATCACTGTATTTTGCCGATAATAAAAATGTGAGTAATTTATTAACTCAAAACAGACAGCAAAATGGCATCAACTAATACTCTGTTTACAGATACTGACTATTCAGCAAAATATTGATACTAACTGTAGCAGTTATCAATTAATTGGTGCATCCCGAGTATTGTATTGTACAGTACTAATAGTCTATTGATATTTACACTTAGAAGAGTTAACTAGACAAGGCAGTCCATGGGTTACAATTACTGTACTTTGTCAAGAGTTTAGTGAAGAAACCACAATGAGAGATGACCTGTACTGTACCTAACCTGACTTGTGTCTGGTGCATCATGAGTCAGGTCACCAGATGAACTCTTGTGGTCATCATTTCCTCCATCTTGAAGTCATCATCCTGGAATGAATAATTATTACAACTCTGTACTAATATATTAAATAGTATACCTACAGTACAGTACACTGCCTATATACAGAACAGGTATCCCCCAATATACAGTACATGATATGCAATTTTCAACAAATGTCTACACTATAGAAGCAAACAAACAATGAATCACGTTTTGTTGTTTTTATCAATGTAAAGATTTTCCCTCACAGGAACATAACCCCAATATATAAATTACTTTAAGACTTAGTTTAAGTATTTCCAGGAACAATATTTTAGTATATTAAGGAACACCTGTGAACTAGTTTACCGAGTACAGTTTATAGAGAATACTAGTACAGTGAGTTCTGCTATAACGCGTGTTTTGATAAAGCGAATTTGCTCTAACGCGATTTATGAATTAGGAACGATATTTGTATAACGCGAACGCTTGTTTGCTATAACGCGATTTTTGCTTACTATTTCTCCAATTTTGTGGTATTAATTGTGAATATGGTAAAGAAGAATATCTCCAAGAAGTGTTCTGGTGATAGAATTCCCGGTGATGATCGTAAAAGAAAGGATATAACACTTGAAGAGAAGCTCGATGTTATCAACCTCAAAATCACCCTTCTCCCCCATCAAGTTACATTCATATTTTTTCAAGGTAAAGTGTTACATTTACTATATGATTTCATTATTAGATATGAATGTAACATTTATTTAGACTGTGCTATCCTTTGTGTTAGGCTAACTACTAAATTTTTTTGATTTCGAGTAAACTGCACCTAACCCTATTTTGTCCATAAGCCCTGTTATTTCTATTACGTGATTTTCTATAACACGATATTTTACAAAAACACAATTATCGCGTTATAGCAGAACTAACTGTATAGTATTTCCCTGCTAACCTGACCTATAAGCCACACCCCTCTTAAATACTTATAGCTGATTGGTTCCCCTGAGCATTTTACCTCCCCAGACTGTGTATATAAGCCTGTATTTATATCAACCTTTTATAATAAATAATTAACATTTTCTAACATCCTCTAAAGAGCTAATGACTTGAGATCATTTACATTACGATAGTCCAGATAGTTAACATTTTATATATTAACAGGTCTGTTTCCCTATTGTGAACACATTTAATAAGGCTTTTCTATGAACCAATCAGCTGTTAGTATAGAAGAGGGGCAGGGCCTATGGGCCAGGTTAGTGTAGAAAGAGTATTTACCTGTATTAAGTATAGTTAACTGTATTAAGTATAGTTACCTGTATTAACTGCACTGGGAACAACGTATTGGACAAACTGAGAACTATAGATGCAGGCAAGTTAATAATGCCAAGGTTGACGGCAGTTATATGTGTAACTTAAGAGGGACCCAGTTACTGTACAGGACCTTAGAGCCAGCCAGGTGAAAGTACTTTAAGGGGAAGAAGGATTGTGAATATAAACGTCATAAAATTAAACTAAAGGCAAGAGACTTACGCCCGTATTAAACATTTGCCTTAAAGAGGGTCGTTGTGTTTCTACCAGACTTTTAAAACTAAACGAGTCCTGAAGGACACCGCAGTACTGTACTTAACGGGGTGTGGCGGTAAAATGAACGAATTCCAATATTATAAATTAATTTTATAGTTAAGTTAAATTTACCGCCACACCACCCCATTAAGTACAGTATTGAGGTGTCCCTCAGGACTCATTTAGTTTAAAACTCTGGTTGAAACACGACGACCCTCTTTAAGGCAAGATGTTTAATACAGGCTTAATCCCTGTTGGATGTATTTATACATCACAGAACTGTAGTTTAAGCCAGGTCAGTTTACAGGAATTAATACAACAAAGCATTATGGGCGACTGACAGGAGGAATGAAATTACTCAGAAAAAGGAATGTAAACAATGTTGAATATAACCAGTATACAGTATATTCCAGATCAAACCCACTGACTCAAGAAATACAGAGACCATTCAAGATTGTAGAATGACTGAGTAAGATTGCCAGTGATTCCAAACGAGGTCATCAAAGTCCCAAAAGTTTACTAAGTGTAGGCATCAGACCTTAAGACAAGATGGTGGTTATGCACTCAGGTCAGAGCAAGACAAGAGGCATTAAATAGTACAGTTGTACCCCGCTTAACGCGGTTTCACTCAATGCGATTTCTCACATACGCGGTGCCTCGCCAGAACCGAACTTTCACTTATCGCGGTTCATCTACTCATATACGCGGTGAAATATATATATTTTTTTATTTAGCTCATAAAATTCATACAAATTACCCGGCCAGAATATAATTTACATTGCTGGAATTCTTCCAATTTGATGATCATTTTGAATATAAACATCATAGATTTTGCATTAGACATACAAATTTTAGATATAATGTTTTCTGAGTAATATGTTCTCTTTTGTGCAAAATATATGACATTTATATTCAAAATATTCCTGGTCTTACAAGGAATCCAGCAATGTCAATTATATTATCCTAACTTTAGTTTGAGGTATTATTCATTAAAATCTAGTGGTTTTCCCCAAAAAATTTCTCAGAGGGAAGAGCCAGCAGTGTAGTGTGAGTAGAGGGGAAAGGAGTCGAGTCCATTATTTGAATGGACATTAACTTGGCGACTATTTCTCTATTTCTCTTAAGTATTAATTGTGTGCATGTACCATCATAAAATTAAGATGTTATTTTTACTAGAACATAGTTGTGTGTCGTTGTTACGAACCCCTCCACCCCGCCTCT